TCATTTTTAAGGTTCCACAGGACCTAAAATACACCTAAATGAAAACAGATCATCCTATCATAAAGCTGATGAATATGTTTGATAGACAGTTGTGTATTTTTGAGGACACATTGACACATTGGGGGTTTTAAATGGTCACTAATTACATTGTGAATAATCAATAAAGTATAAAGAGCACCGAGGCTAAAAAGCTTTTTAAATGAGTTATGTTTATGGTTTGAGATCTACCTGTCTGCCTAGTTTCATTCCAGCCAGAGACACCAACCACTGATACACACTTCGATAACATGCATTAATTCATTTTCTGGTAACTTGAGAGCAGCAGAACAAAATATAAGCACAACACTGACATATAATCACCATAAAGCAGAACATTGCCTATTTACATATTCTGTAGACACGGAACAATATTATCATTAATCTGGAGTTAATATTAACTCTCCTTTTAGCTCTGTTTCTGGTCTCCATCAACTGCTCATATCTGGCAAATATCTGGCTGCTACATGCTCCACTATGTTTACAGATAGTTGCTAACTTTGTCTGTCTGCTTTTTAGTGCTGGGCAAGTAGTTTACAGTAATTATTTTGCTGCCTGCTGTAACTGGATAAAATGATGGTCAGAGAAAAAAACAAAACAGTACAGTTGAGGGCCATAAAACCAAAAACAATGAGCTAAAAGACACTAAAATGGTCCACAGAGCCTAGGGGAACAGCACCATCAGGTAATAATTCTTTGTGGCTGATCACTATGATTAACAACTAAAACAATCAATCAGAGCCAAGAAAGATATTTGAATATTAAGTCTCATTCACAGGTTGTCAATAACGATTCTGGGAGCTATCCTCAAGCCACCACCCAAAGTCTTCAATATTTTTCTGTCTGTTGATTTCTTTTTTCATAGATTATCTGTCTCATTTACTGATATAATTCAATTTCAGCAAATATGACAAAAAGTTATTTTAATAAGTGCAGCTTTAAAGCTAAAACAAGATATTCATTGTTGGCAGAGGACAAACACCAACTAAAGGGATGCTTCACTTAAATGTCGGCTCTCAACATGGCAACCTAAAGGTTTGTTTCTATTTCAGCACTATAATGCCTCATGTCTGATCTTATTAGCGGTAATACATATTACATGTATCATAATAAACTATTAACCATTAATCAAAGTGCTCTGTATCCTATTTAATCACCTGTGAAGTAGATGTATGAGACATAGGCGCGGTCGTGGTCCTTTTCACACTCTGTGCCGTCACACACTATCACCCAGCAGCTGTAGGGCCCTGTGTCAGCAGCAGAGGGTGACGTCAGGATCAGCTGGCTGTACTTGTCACTGTGCTTGATGCTGGAGGCGGGAAACAGAAATGTAAGACCTTTCACATTCACATTAACTTAAAGCTTGTAACAAACTGCTGAGGTCTGCTTCCAGCACCTGAGGCGTGAGTCATTGAAGGTGTCCAGGTAGGTCGGGTATGACCATCCGATAGAGTTGCCTTTACATCTCAGCTCCACGTTCTTCCCAGGAGTCAGAGTTGTGGTCTGGCCCAGTCGCACAAAGCGTCCCTTATCTAAAACCTGGGTTAACAGGGACTGGCCTTTCCCTCCTACATCTTTGAGTTTGGGGTGTCTTATCTTCACCCGTTTTCCCCCTGGCCGGATCCGGTTCTCTCCTACGTCTTTTCTACGCTTGACTTGTTGGCAGGCACCTGGATACACAGAGGCACAGAGGAAGGAGGGTGATAGAGGCAAGATAGAAGGGAGGGGAGCAAAAATAATAAAGATATGTCACAAAATCATCTGTTACTGTGGCCTAATTCTTTACAGAAACAGCAGAGTCCAGACTAGTGTCTGCTCATCTGAAGGGCTACTCTTTGTGTTTCCCCCAGCTGTGATAACAGTTGAACAGGAAGTGTGAAATCCTTATTACTGGCACAAAATGTCCAGAACACCAGCCTGTCTTTTCAGCTGTATTTCTCACTGGGCACAGAGCATGTAAACCATAAAAGACGAGAACAAAATGATCAGTCTGTAGACTTTCAGGGTTTGTTGTTTTATTTTTTTGTTCGCCATTAATGAGAACTCCAAGGAAAGGTCAGCAGTAAAGGCCAGTTAATTAGAAACGCCTGTTGCATGCCTCAGAAGCAGCTGGTTTGAGTTGGTCTGCAGAAATACTTTGCAAAAAACTCACACAACTCTTATGCAACCTTCTCAATTTACATGCATTACATACAAGTATACATCACATACAAACATATATAGCAGATTGATTGCAGTGTGTGCCTGGGGAAAGACAAAATGATTGACAAATGAATAAAGTGTTTGCCATATGTAAAAAGATTTACTTCTTTATGAATCCACCTCCTCTTCTACGCCATCACAGAGCCCCCAGCCAATATTTGTACAACCTCAGACTATATAATCCTCCCACTGCTCCCTGGTTACGCTCCAAGTCCTCATGATGAAATTAACCATAATTTTGCCTCACTTATAAATCTACGAGACATATGTGGAGATGTGTAGACTCACCATTTTGGAGCTCCACCCAAAACAGTGCCAGGCAAAGCACAACCCAGAGCTTCATAGTGTTCTGACGGTATGGTCAGAGGGGCGACTGCTCTGCAGGGGCCGGAGAGGTCTGAGAGGTTTGGTAAGGGGCTCAGTAGGAAAGGAGGTCAAGCTCGGAGCTTCACTGGAACTCTACAGGCTCCAGCTACCCTGTTTAGATTTCCAGCTCCATCCTCCTCACAGACTGAGAGGAAAAGGGAAAACAACTTCAGAGCCCTTCTGTTCACTCCCTCTCCTCAAACTTGAAGAGCAGAAACATGTACTCTGGAGCCCTCTGCTGGATCTTAGGGTGAATCATAGTGCTTTTTAAAGTCTTACAACACTTCTTACATGCCCATATGCACATTGTTCAATTCAGTGACCAATAGCTCTTTCAGTGTATGCATTGGCATGTGAGTGTTGTTTTATGATAGACTAAATGTGGACCTAGACTTTGACCTAAATTCAAAACCTACTGCTGCTCTGTAGGGGTTCGTAGTTGCACACCTCAAAACATGTGACAGCAGGTGTTTTGCACTTGACTGCTCATGGTAAAAAGCATGAACATACACTGTTAGCAAAATCAACACTGGCACAAATGTTACACACCTGCCGAAGCGAAATGTGAGCAGTGTGGGATGTCACACGGAAATCAGTTTGCTGGTTTGTAGTCCATTTTAGGGGTCAACCACACACACACGTTTGCTATTGGTTGAGGTTTGCCGGTCAAAGTTCTGCTGGATAGGTTCAACCCCTCGCTTGCATAGAATAGAAGTGAATGCTGAGAATGAGTATTTGCCAATGTTGATTTTGTGTTTGTGTCATCAGGCCCTAACACTTGCTATGACGTCACTAAATGGGGTGTGGTCAGTATTGCATAGACTCATAGAGGGCAGTGAACCAGCAGTTTTTGTCATTTGTAATTACACCATTATTATGAATACTGTTGTAATCATAATATATCAGCTTTTTATTTGATTGTATATGTAGTTTAACTCAGACTTACAAAGTTATCTTAAGAGCTCTCAGCAGCTTTATGACTGTAATAATTTACAGTCTTAGTCTACAGTAACTACACACTGTATAAAAATAATACTGTTTGTAAATAATATCTGATGTTTTTATCTTTTATATGTGTTGGATTGGACCAGAAGGTATGCACAAAAACTAGGAAAAGCTGCTTCTTTGTCTTACTTTCCACTCTAAATGGCCACATGGTGGCGTCATTTACATTTAAAAAGTGTACCAGTTCTTCTTTGATTTATGGTCTAACCTTGCACCACATTTCATTAAATTAGTTTTTCAGATATGTTGCTAATAGACAAAAAATAATAATAAAATAAATAAACAAACACTGGCTTACTGGAAAATACATTTATTGTTTTTGTCTGTGCAGTTGTTAACAAGTGGCACTACATCACAACATCATGATTATTTCTATGTACTTTATCCTGTAACCTCACTGGAAGACTCTACAATGTCAATGTAGAGGTTCAGTATAGTAGAAATTATCTACCTTACTCCTGCTTGAGAGTAGCTTCTGAATTTGTTCCACATCCACTTAAACCACTGAACACATCAGTCCATTACCAGCATCCTACAGCCTCAGTATCTGACCTCTTGAAAAAGTGTAGGATTTCTCCTCTTCAGATGGTGTAACAAATTGGCAGTACAGGTGAAAGATCTGACGGAAAACAAGTTTCTACTGTAAACTAGAGCTCACTGAGCCTTACAATTCATAGTACAAAAAACAGGATGGCCCCTAAAGGATTGAAGAAGAATGTAAGCACTCAGTATTCATGCAGTCTTCAAACCGGTTATAAAGCAACACTGGCTCCAGTCTCTGAAGTAAGACATTGAACGCCAGAGAACAAACCTGGAAAAATGCCTAGTTCATCTAAATTATTTCGCAAGATAGATAAAATACTGTAACTTGTAATTAATAGTTGCCCCTGCTGTTAGGTGGCAAAGTAGTCTGTCAAAGAGAGAATCATTTCATGACGGTTATATTAACAGAATGTCTGCAACTGTATCAAAATAGCATAAAATATCAGAGAAACAGGAAAATACGACATGCCGTAACCTGATAGCGTGAAAAAAGAAACTACAAATACTTTAGCTTGAGGAGAGCTCTGTATCAAATAATCTTCAGATTGTAACAGTTCATAGATAAAAGACACCCAAGCAAAAAATTTTAAAAAAAGTGAACCTGTGCTGAGTAAAACCACCACAACAGCTAGAGAAACCTCAATATCTATACAGCAAAGATTGATAGGATCTGTTACATAATACCAACAGAAGCCTGAAACTTTCCACAAGCCGCCCTACATTCAGGTCTCTGACATATTCAGTAATCTGACTCGAGTCATGACATGTTAAGTGCCCAGAAAACTATTGTACAGGTTGTACTTAAGTCTAAATGTGGCAGCGTCTTTAGGATCTTTTTATACAGATATCACAATTTCACATGGAAAACAACTACGCACAAAATAGTTCAAAAATATATTTCAACTTGACAACACATCTTTAAGCTAATCCTTTCCTTTCCTCAGCGTTGTACACTTGTGTCAAAGAACAATGAGTGCTTTTACCACAAACTAACATTAATACTAGTAAATAATTGGTGTATCAGAATCTAATTATATCCTTTCATTAAATGGATAACACAGATTTTCCAACACTTTCAAAAACCCACCAGTAATAACCTAAAAAAAGGGGTGTGTCATGCACTAAAAACTCACAATGAAACAGAAAAGCTTTGCTGCAGTCTCGGCATTGACTGCTTCAGTGTTAAAGGAAATGAACATCACTCTCCAGTGTGTTACCTGTCCTTTTCAACCCTGCCTCCATGCTGTCCACAAAGTGACCTACAGGATGTGGTTCCATCACAGTGGTAAGAGCGGCTCCCCCCCGTCATGTGGCTGCTGATACAGAATACTGACACCGTCTTCACAGACTGAATGTGCTTGTGACTAAGGCACACGTGGTGAAGCTGTATGAACAGGTGCATCGAGGCAGAGCGGCTGTGTGCTTTTATGCATCTGTGTGCCTCACGGAGTCTGTGAATGAGCTGGTAAACTTTAACACTGGCTGGTCTTCTCTGGGCAGATGAAACGCTCCTGGTCTTTCCCTGCAGCACCCATACCAACCTGCTTCTCGCTGCTGGTTTTGTTGACCTCCTGGGCGCCACTGCTGTTTGAAGGGCCCTGGCGTAGGCGCTGGCGCTCCACGCTGTGCCACATGCCGTAGCCAAAGTAGATCAGGAAGCCTGAGAAAAAGTGTTGGAAGAGTAATGAGATTACAAAAAAACACAGGATAAGGTATCACATCTATAAAGGGGAAAGTTTTACATTTTTAGGAAATATTCGCTGTCTTGCTGAGAAGTTTATGAGATATAAATAAAAACTCCAGCCAGGGAACAGTTAGCTTAGCTTAGCATAAAAACTGGAAACATTAAAAAAAAATACCGTACCTCTAAAGCTCACTAATTAACGTTTGCTTAATCTAGTAGTTTAAAAACATCACGTTGTGGTGTAAAGAAGGGTTTATGTGCCGAACTATTTCTTGGCTGGTAGCAGTGACTTCTTGGAGTCTCCAGTGGTTGCCTGGCAACCTCAGGGTGATGACAAGATGCCAGGAAGTCACTGCTCCCAGCCAATACACAGCAATGCTAGCTGTCCCCCTTGTTTCTAGTCTTTATGCTAAGCTAAGCTAACTGTCTCTGCTCTAGTTTCATACTTGAGAGTGGTATTGATCTTACTTAAGACAAAAAAGTATATTTCCCGCAATGTTGAACCATTTCTTTAAATATGTATTGGGTTAAACGCACTGTTACCTGAATTAAATTATAGATTTCTTTGGGTTTGAATATTATTTGAAACATTTAGGATAATGTAAGTACACAACTCCACAAAATATATAACATAGGTCTAGTTTATAAACATTTTAATGCAGAAATGTTACATATTATAGCTTTAAAACAGTACACTCACCCACAGCCATCCACACCGAGAAACGGATCCACGTATCTCCACTCAGCTGAACCATGAGGTAAATATTGACAAATATGCTCAGAATGGGCAGAAAGGGCAGAAGAGGAACCTGTGAAGGAAACAAGCACAAAATCTACCATCAATTTATTTGTACTAGATTGCTCTCATTCCATAATACAGGACTTAGTGAGCTGCCACGCACCATGAAGGAGACCTTCTTGGTGGTCTGAGGCTGCCTGCAGACCATGAACATGCAGCCACTGAAGATGATGAGGCACAGGCACAGCGATGCCAGGACCCACACTTCCAGACGAAGGATGGAACCAATATGGTACGTGGTGAGATAGCTGAGCACACACACTGCCAGCACTGTGGTTTGAAAAACACAGATGCTTAATTCTGGGGTCTTTAGTTGGTTTGTTTTTTATCATAAAAAATGATTTTAACCTGCTTACCGAGCACACAGATGGCCATGTTGACCACACTGGAGGAATGCTCAGAGGGTGAGACAGGAGGGTGCAGGACGGCCTGCAGTGTGGAGCTGCCTCCCTTCAGCATGTTAAGGTGAGACTCCGACTCCGTCAGGTCAGACTCGCCCCCCTCAGAGGACAGGTATTCCCTCTCAGCTGTGCCGACCCGCCGCTCCATAGATCCATCTGGTTGGTACCTGAACCACAGACATCAAAAGGTCAGAGGCTGTTTGCATAAACTACCTTAAACTTCAGAGAGTTTGTCTCTTGTGCAAAATGTTTCCCTAAGCTGAGGGGTTCATTTAGGAGTGTTACATGAAGCTGCTTATGTTTACGCCTTCCCTAAGCGTTTAAAATAAGTAGTTATTGTCATAATACAGCACACTTGTGGCCATGAAACAAAAAACATCCGTATCTACAGCCAGTGTTTGGTTTGTCCTATCTGGGCTACTGTAGAAACATGGCAGACTCCATGGAAGACGACCTACAGCATCTGTACATAAAAACATCTCATTCTAAGTTAGCGAAAACATAACGATTTCTATATTCAAGCGATTACACACAGAATGTGTCTTTAATCATCAGAAATTCAGCCATTTTCTTATGTTACGCAAATTATTTCACTTTACGGGACGGCTGTAGATCCTTTAGAAGTTTCTAGCAACCATAAGGGGATACTTAAGTAGCTAAGGACAAACACTCAAGATCAAACGGTTTTCCCTTACAACATCTCAAGCAAATCCTTATGGTAAATTTAAGTAACAAATTTTTCAGAGCCATCCTTAGATAAACATTTAAGGCCAACCTTAGCCTAAGTTGTTTTATGTAACCAGGCACAGAAATGAGCATTTAACTACAATTTAAAACCACACTTCTACTCTCAAAATATTTTTGTTTTCAGTGTCTCAAAGTACTACCTGTTTATATACAGCGTATCCTTTATACAGCTACAAATTATTTTCATTGTGAAATAGCTCACAGTGTTTGCTTTCACTTTATAAAAACAAACCAAGGCCTTTAAATCCAGTTTAAACCAGGGAACAAAACACTGTGTCTGTGTTTACTGCGGCTGTGGTGAGGAGTCAGCTTGGTGCAACCAGCAGAGGTGTACAGAGTTTAGCAAGTACAGAAAACTTAAGTAAACACCTTCGTTCACTCAAGCAGCCACTTCACATTCATACAATGGGAGCATTCACAGCTCTTACATCACCAGTGTGATGCAATAACATGAGGCGTATGTTACACCGATGGGCTTATTGTACCTGTGTGTGTTTTTGGAAAGCTATAAGGGAAACTGTTTCACAATGTTGCACAAGTAAGATTTCTTTCAAGCGCTATTTTAAAAAAAAAAGGTTATTTATAAATGTACCCACCTGAGAATCAGTACGCACACAGCGACCAGCGAGTAGGCCAGCAGAGTACCGATAGACATCATGTCCACCAGCGCTTTGAGGTCAAACAGGAAAGCCATGATGGCTATAGTAAAGCAAGAAAAACATAATTAACACAAACACTTTTACCGTCTACCATGAATAATTTTATCATTCCTGAACACTGGAACAGTCATTTTAACAACATACATGAAAACACTCATTACACCCACAGACTGTAGTGCAACAATAATATTCTTGTAATTATAAATGGAAACGCTGCTGTTTTCTGCACCGTACAACGAACACACATGAAAATTAACAGATGCAAATTAAATTTCATGCAGGCATGTTTTTGCAATGAGGAAGACACAAAAGAGCTAAATGTTTGCCTGGGCTGACAGCTGTAATCGTCTCCATACCGAGTGTCGTTTGATGTGAGATACACTGTGGTGTTCCCTCTCTTGTATCTCAGCATCAGACTCCGGTATGGAGCAGATCTCAGCAGCGCAGTTCAAACACAGAGTGCTGGTATGTCCGCTGCTCCTCACAAGAATACATTAAAACAGAAATAACAAAGAAAGCTCCCCTGTCCAGTTCTACCAGTTGCTGAGTATATGGCCTGTGCTCTGGGTGGATTGGTTTGCAGAGCCCCTCCCAGACACCCTAGCCCCAACACCCGAGCACAGTGAGCATGATGCAGCCACGTACCGTACCTGGATCCTACTGAGCAGGAAAGCTTTAGAGGTTTTCTATCATTGTATGAGCACCACACCAGGCCCCAAAGGCCAACCGTTTATTTACTTTACCATTCGAAGTAGTCGACATCCAATTGACTTTAAATCTAACTTAACAGCCTTCTCAGGTTGAGAGAACGTTGTCAGGCCAGGAGTTTCCAGTCTATGCTCGCTTTGTAATCTATTTTCATGCTTTGTTAATCCGACATGTAAAAACGACACATCATGGTTTTACTGCGGGTTATAAACCGGACTATGTTTTGGCCAGCAGCAGTGACTTCCTGGAGTCTTGGCATCACTATTGTTGCCAGGCTGTAGCTTTTTTTAATTAGCATACACACAGGAGAGTAGTATCGTCTCATCTAATTCCCGCCAAGAAAGCAAATAAGTGTTTTTCATAGAATGTTTAACTATTTTTAATCTTCAGTTAGTTACTTTCCAGTAAATAATTATTTATTTTTTTTACATAAAAGTGACTAAAAGTAAGACGGACTGAAGTGGTGAACACAGATAAGATAAGATATGTTTTCTCACATGCTTTTGGAAACACCGTCACCAACTTTAACATGCAGTCACCACCATTTAAAAACCCCAAACAAGTGCACGATACAACCCCATGATAGACGAGTCCTCGTCTCGGGAGCTTACCCGCAGTGGTACCTGCCGCCATGGTGGCAGCCACAGGCGACTGCCGCTTACTCACTTTGGACATAAATTTGAACAGAATACCGTCTCGTGCCATGGCAAAGAGAATGCGCGGCAGAGGGAACATGGAGCCCAACAGGCTAGGGAGAAGAGGGTTCATGGTTAAGTTGAGGGCATTCTGGGAAAGAAAACATGACACCTACACAACTGTGAAAGATCAACATGTGTATATATGAAGGGAAAACCTCCGAAAACTGCATAATTTAAAAGCAGAAAGCAATTTCAGGAAGAAAAGAACCAAATGTTTAAATTATCTGCATCCCGGACTGTATCTTTCACAGTTGATTGGTGGAGAAAGATTAGCAGGAGTGATCTCAGTAGACTCTCCCCACGGCTCTCACCTGCTACTACACCGGAGGTCATAGTGGCAATAAGTGGGGTCTTCGTCTTAGGATTGATTCGGGCTAAGACTTTGAAAAGCACCCCATCCTCTGCCATAGCATAGATTACACGAGGCATGGGGAAAATGGAGCCCAGCAGACTGCATGAGACAGCAGAGACATGCAAGACCAACACGTTAGTAAAGGGCCCCAAACACAGACACACACGCACACTTACACCTACAATCACTTCAGAGCATAATTAAAGTCTATGTCTTTCTTTCCTGTTGGCACTTATGCCATGGTATAATCTTTCATTATGTTTTATCAACTTAAATGAATGGAAGACAATAGATTGTGGCTGCTTTCAAGAGCAAATTATACATCGCAAATGTTTTTAAACAGTCAAATTTGTACATTTTAGTTGTTTTTCTCCATTTTGAAAGCTTGTTTAGAGTTGGATTTAAAGGCGTGGGCCCTCGAGTAATTACATTTTACCAGGAGTGTAAACATTTAGTCCAAAGATATAAATGTACCAAAATGTGTGTTGAAGGGTTTTCACAGCTCATAGAAATTGCTGCCAAAGGGCGGACCCCAAACTAACAGCCTAAACACTAATTGCAGGCATTAACTTATCCAAAATGTAATTGGTTCAAGTCAAATTGAATAATATGCACATGAATGCAGATCATGGGATAAGTTGTTGACTGACATCCACCAGGGTTTATTGATGTCAGGGGAACTGATATAGTGAACCTCCAGGTAAGAAAGACAGAATAAAGTCACACCAATATAAACTTGCCCACCTTATTTATGATACATCAAATTAAAAATAGTATATCACAAAGACATGCAGGTGTCTGAAAACAGAAAGAATTAAGCACTGCACCCACCATGCCCCGTTAAGCAACAGGAATCAATCCAATAACAAGACATAGACAGAGATGTGGGGTCATAATTTTGGCCAGATCTCATTCACCATTATCACCCATCAATTAGAAATTAAAGTGATATAAATTCAGCTGACTCAAACATAGTAAATCAAATATCTAAAAAATACCATGAATATTATTTTATATTTTGTTCTCAGCTTATTTTACAAAGGCAAATCCAGCATTTACCTGGTAGAGAGGGCACACAGTGAACCTGCAGCGACCACATACTTAGCAGGACCCCAGCCCACATACTCAAAGGCCATGGGCAGAGGGCTCTTCTCATCCAGCAGGTAGTAGGGCATCATCAGTGTGAGCGCAGCTGACACACCAAAGTACGCCAGGAAACACACAGTGAGTGATACCACGATGCCGATGGGAATGGCTCTCTGAGGGTTTTTCACCTCCTCGCCTGTCGCAGAAAGACATACATATATCTTTACATTTAGCTTTGACAGCAGTGGATGGAGAGGGGTACCTCCTTTCCACCCCAGTTTGGTGTCAAATTCGGTTAACACATTAATTCAGATTGATTTTAAAAATAAGTAATGATCTGTTAGTTGGCCACATTTTAGATGAAGTAAGAAGTTCAATGAAAACGGACATGGACAGGAAACAAAACAATGCATTGATAATGCCACCTTTTGATATTTCTATTCAGTGCTTTAAATATGTGCCACATAATGTAATAGATTTGATATTGGTGCATGTGATGCGATTCAATCAGCATATATATATATATATATATATATATATGTATACACACATATATTTTCCACCCTCTTACCACCCCATGACTATTTCTCTAGATCCGCTCCTGAGCTTTGATTTCACCCGTCAGTGGCTCACCTGTAGTTGCTATGCAGTCAAATCCAACAAAGGCATAAAAGCAGGTGGCAGCTCCTGCTAAGGTCCCGCTGAAGCCGTATGGCATAAATCCTCCAACTCCATAATCACTGGTCACATTGGCCGTCACTGACAGGTTCCTAAAACATAGAATTTCACAACATTTAGACTAAAAATTTAGGTGACGTGAGGAAGAGTTTGGCCACTGCTGTCCTGAGTGTTTGATAGAGACTGCATGTTGGACTGAATAAACACAAACCAACCAAACCAACAGAAATAGAGATGGTTAACAATGCATGAAAATAGAGTACATGTTATACAGACATACAACTAACAGTCAACAAATGAATAAATTACCTTGTAACTATGGTGACATTTATAAGGGATTCTTCAGTTATCTTCCAGTTGTGTGTGTCGCCTTTGACGAAGCCCGAGATGATGACGAACAAGAGTACGAGCACGTTGATTGAAGTGAAGACTTTATTGACCCAGGCGGACTCCTTCACCCCAAACGACAGGAGTCCTGGGATGAGTGAAAAGGCAACAGAGCTCAGTACAGTACTGTGATGTTTTATTGTAGTTTAACTCACTTAAAGCTACATTATGTAACTTTTCTACCTTAAAATAATAGCTTCAAAATAATGTTGATGTTATACTCATTTAATAATAGGTTAATAATAGGGTGAATGCCGCACTCTGCGCCCACTATGCCTGCTGTTGCATTATGTAACTTCCATTATGTAAATTGTAAGTCCACAGGAAGAGCACCGGGCTTTGACGCCAATTTGACATAGTGGCCAAACCATGCAATTACAGTAATGGCATCTGTCACGTGATGCACACTGGCCCAAAAAATACTTTATCCCATAAGGTTACACTGTGAAAGAAGAGGCTGTAAAACGCTGAATACAGTTTTTCTCAGCTAGATGACTCACTTCACTATCAGAATTTGATCCATTGAGTCCAATAACACCTTTAAAGTCTAGAACAATTAAATCATTTATCCTCATTCAAAATAACTGACGGCTACACTGGAAGTTAGCCGCTTGGCCGGCAGAAGTGTGAATTCATCTGTGAATTCATCTTTAATTTATTTGTAGTAGGAAGTGGCTTTTATTTGCTTCATGTGCCACTTAGAAGCTTTTATCGGAATGAACAGAGTGCCGGTAAATGAATGTGTGTACCACATTTCAAGGCAATCAAATAACTAAGCAAGCTACAGGTAAAGTTTGTTTGAGTGTCATTAATGTGTTGATGGGACCGTGTGTAATAAATAATAATAATTAATGACACAATTTGTCAAAAGGATAAATGTCCAGACCATAGCAAAAAGAAGGATAGTTGCAAACCTCAGTTCTTCTATTAGTTTTCACAAAAACAGGAACTGGTCTTTTTTTCTTCTGTAATTTGGTTTTGATGGTTAAATATTGCCTAAGTTTTACATCTGTCATCCTTAAAAACAACCAAACACTGGTGGACTGTTTCTGACCTAATGTTATTATTGCATTGGCAGGCCAATGGATAAAACACATGATAAAGTTTGGTTAAAGAGGGTCATAAATGTGGAATTTAACCAAAACATGTCCAGTTTGAATCCCTGGACTGTCATGAATCTGACCACGGGAAATGAATATGGATCACTCTCCAAGTTACCAGCAGCTACTGATGATACTAAACCTTCTGCTAAAGCTTCTCAGTAGCCTGAGGTTGTAAAGACACTGTAGCCTACTTATACTGGGAAGTTCCCAGCTGTGTGTGTGACTGTGGGAAAGAGAAGATGGGTGCTGCTGAAATCTAGCAGCATGATCAGGGAGTTTTTAAAAAAAGGAATGGGGTGAATGTGGGCTCCCAGTGGACTCTCGCTGCCCTGTCCTCTTAAACACTTAATCACACAATATCCTGCCATCTCTTTATTGGATTATGCCAGCTGTGGCTCATGAAAGTTGGCTGTGTTATAAATGTACCAACATATCGACTTGAATTGAATGATTTTCAGCCTTTATTTTGCTGCCTTACCAGAAAGCAGCAGTATCAGGCAGACGGCAAAGAAGTCGGGGTACTGAGCCAAACCAGGAGAGTTCATGCTGAAGTAGGTCTTACAGAATATCTCTATGTGTCCTCCTATCATTTCATCAAAGGTGCCACTCCAGGCCCTGGCAACTGAGGAGGTACCTGTAAAAAGCAAAAAACACACAGCATGAAGAATCTTCTTTTAAATAACGTACTTCAAAAGATTGCCACTAACTCACCAATCACATAGGAGAGAATGAGGTTCCAACCAGTGATGAAGGCCCAGATCTCGCCTACAGTCACATAGCTATAAAGGTAAGCAGAGCCGGTCTTGGGGACCCGTGCGCCAAACTCAGCGTAACACAGGCCTGCCATGACTGAGGCTAGGGCAGCAATTAAGAAGGAGATGACGATGCTGGGGCCAGAGTCGCCTTTGGCCACCTCACCGGCCAGGACGTAGACACCGGCACCCAGAGTGCTGCCCACCCCCAGGGCGATGAGGTCGACGGTTCCCAGGCAGCGGCACAGCTTTGAGTCTTCCAGGTTGCTCAGGTCGACCACCTTCCTGCGCACCAGGGAGCGGCCGAATGACAGGATCTGCTCCAGCATGTCGACACCTGCTGACAGAGGGAAAGAAAAAAAAGTGAAAATGCCTGGTTTACTTTACTGTGACATAGATAGATTTTACTTACTTCACTTGCCAGGCAATGAGTTTAAATAAGAATTATATAACATGCTCTGCAGTATGAGTAAGGGTAATTTGATTGGATGATATGTAGGTGTACTATTATGTGTGCATGCAGCATGGTGGCCTCTAAGGTGCAGAGACACACGTAAAGAAGAAATATTTCAAACATCATCATCAAGACACAGTGCAAGAAAAACTACTACTGTACTAACTACTATTCTTTATCTTAGCAAGTTAGCATCAATATTTGCATTCAATAGAAGGCGCAAGAATTGTGATATCAAAGGTCAGGTCTGTGAGCACGGTTTGATTTAACTCCACAAGATTTGCATTTTTAGCAGCTCTTGCAGCTTTTTCTCTTGAGAAATAACATAACGTGAGGATGAAGCAAAGGTGGGGTTAGGACTGTTGAGAGACTGACATGCTTTGCAGGAATGCTGCCATGTGCTATAGCCTGCAAGTTGTACAGTAGCGTCCCATTAAAGTCTATTGTTTGGGGTTACGGTGCAGATCTAAGTACTCAAAGAGCTGCATTCATAAGAGCACCATGAATGCAGCACTATAACACAATAAAGACATTCCAGTGTCTTTCTTTACTAATTACTTAAAAAAGTAAATTGCAGAGTCTTCTTTGTTTTCATTGTTCCGTCTCTAAAAATGTCTCTTTTCATTAGTAAGATTGCTGGGGTTCCTGCCTAAAACATTTGCATGAATGCAATATGATAAAAGAGGAATGAAATATGCCTGCTCTCCAATAGGTTCTAGCTTGCTTTTGAAGTTAAGGCATTTTCTTTAAACCCACACTTTGATTATCTTGACCGTAAATTAACACTGACGACCGTCCAAATATGCATTGATCTCCATTTAAGTGTGGTTTTTTTTTTAGACCAAGAGAAATTAGTTTTGGATGTGACAGCTCATTAACATCACAATGTGGGCCGTATTACAGCGTCTGCAAGAATACAGTGGAAGAAAACGTAGTTTTTAAAAAATGAAGTAAAAATTCAGTTTTGGAAAACTGCCAATACAAATTGCATTAATCTGTATGCAGATACAGTTAACTTGTATCATTATTCCATACATGTATTGAATTTCTCTTCAAAGACAATTCAAAGACAGCTACTGCAAAACTTATTTATAGTTATTCTAAATTCATGTACAACCACTGTAGCGTAAGTGTTACATTTAAACTATTTCAGTAGAGACATGCACCTACCTGTTAGAGTGACACTGTGTGGATATGACTAAGTTCAGACACAGGAAAGTAAAAAGGCTGTTAGAAGTGTCTGTGCGTTTCTTCCAGCTTGCCTCTGCACATGTAAAAGTCAAATTACATCCACTGATCCCATGAGCCTCTGCCTCGAAACTCTGCTTCAGCACTGTGCTCAACACCAATTCATATGCTGGCATGTACACTGCAGAGCACGCCTCTGTCCCCAGTGTTTCTTCATAAGACCCTTAGACTCAGCCTTCAGTCCCGCCACAGGGGAGTGACGTCCCATGAGCAAGGAGGCAAGAGGGGAGGAGGGAACTCGAGGGAATTAGGGTGAGGGGAGGGAGTTCACCTCCAAGCTTGAGCTTTGGGTTTGAGTTAAACTCTGTGGAGACAGCATTGCACCATAAGCTCTCATCCTGGGAGCACACAGCAGGACAGAGAGGAGAAAGGAAGGAATCTTGGTGGTAGAATTAGTGATTTCTAATGCACACTCAGGCCAAATAGATCCCAGCTGCCCAGATGCTTACTGACTACTGATAAATGGTTAGGCAACTGGCGTTGACAAACATTGAGGCAGACACTTGTGTTTACCCAGTGCAGCCCACAGGAGTGCTGCTAAAAGCATGGGTGCTGATTGGTCAATGAAGGGTGGACGAGCTACAATACTGGGGGGTTAAGTCCTCCTAATGGAAGACAGGTATTGCTCAATGTTCTTTGAGCTATTGGACCCACGGACATTATAAAATCAATAGCATAGCTCACTGTGGTACACCACCAAAAGCCTGGCATCAACACAGCAACTTCAGTTACAAGTTTGAACTCTTGGAAGGGGAAAAAAAAGTCACATTTTTCCACCAAACACTGCCTGCGAATTACAACTAAGGTTGAGTTTGCAGTGGAGTGAATTTGTGCCAAGACCAGCTCAAACCAGCTTGAGATCTCAGTGGGAAGGTGGCAGCTGGCGGCTAGAAACACCGTCCAACCCACAGACCAGAGACTCCATGGCATGACAACAGCCAGCTCTCTCTCTCAGTTTGTCCAACCAGCCAAGCAGCCGAATATCGTGGCCCATCGCCCACCAAACCTTGGCTCCAGGGGCTGATTATCTGACCTGCATGCTGATGAGGAAAGCCAATGCTTTACTTAGTGGTGGGCAGGGTGGAGACACTACTGTTAATGCTGGCTGTTTGTCTTCAACACACACACAAACACACACACACACACACACACACACACAGACACACACATTCAAGGTACAGCCAGAAAGAAAAAGGGGGGATCTAGGTTGTCTGGTGGGTGCGAGTTTCATGGTATTTCCTGGGTGTATACGTATATGTATATAAATAACTGTATATATTGTTTTATTTTATGTCATTTTAATTTTTTTTCTGTGTGTAATTTGTGTTGAGCAATCTTGCGTTGTATAATGATAAATATATTTACTTTATTCTTGATATAAACTTAATATGGCTCCTTTCAAATGACTAAGTAACAGCAATTTTAATTAAAATGAAATAAAATGTGATACATGATACATGATAAAGTCTCTTCTAGAGTTCCCGTCCAGGTGTAAAAACCTGATGAAGTGCCCTCCATGGTGCCCTTCTAGTGGACGGATGTGGTAAAGTGTCCTCTAGGGCGCTAACCTTAACCCTGAGTAACCTGTTACACCATAAATGCATCACAACCTTCTTGCCGCTGGTGCCCTTTTCAGTTTTTTCACTTCATCAAACAGCCACGGTTTCTGGATTTTTATGTATCGTATGAACTACATTGACATGAAATAATGTAATAGGATCATCCTGGACCACATAAATACTTGCTATTGGAAGGAGCAGTTTTCACATGCAGGTATAGTCACTGTAACCATGGAAAGGATGGAAAGGAGTCACTGGCTCACCGTATCTCAATGTTGACATGTGCTAATTCTGTGAAGCCAATTGAATGCATTTGCCCTCCAATGGCTGAGTGACCTAGCTTCAAAATCGTGGATATGGTCAACAGATTGAGTGGTGTTTGCCTTGCGGACACCGGGACTGCTCGCTCCAGTTAACACTGTTGTCACCAGGAAATGTTAGAGTGAACAATTACTGATAAGGTAGACAACAGCTTTGAGTAGAATGACGACAGCAAGACTGACCCTCTAGATTAAAAGCAGCAGTCTTTGGGCCAGGAAGATACCTAGACCTCTATCTGACAAAAGATATAACTTGTTCATATGGATGTACCAAAGTCAAATAAAAGACAGGCCCACAGATAACTTCAGGTAATGGATAACAAGGACATCAGATCCCTTTTGTGAACTCTTAAGAAAATGAAAAGGTAATAAATAGCTATGTTTAATTCAAATAAAGGCTAATGTCCTTTATCCAATGTAAAGACACTACCAGACTGGATATATAGACCTAAATCACCTTTTGCAAATTCATCAATTCCAGCGTAGCTCACTGGAAAAAAAAGTATAAAAATAGGTTAAAATGTGTTTAGGAGGCCAATATTAAACATGCTTTAGACACTGAATTTAACGTAATGGCACAAAGCTTCTTCATATTACATTTTAAGAACAGTCTGGGGACTGAAGCCTGAAGACATTAACTGTTCTTAGGTGGGAGGATGAAGCATTATCTATGGATTCATTTATCCTCATTGAAGACTCCCTTCTCCCTGCTCTGCTAAAACTGATTTCCTGTCTCTATCTAGGTCAGTGGCCAAACCTTGTACTGTAGTACTCAGAGGTTTTCTGAGTCCTTCCAGAATTTTTCTGGGATTGTTGTGGCCTGAAATGCCAAGATTTCACTGTGAATTCTGTTTTTAGGCATTTTTTGCCATGACGTTACAGGAGAAATTGAAAATTTAAAAAAATAGTTGATATGTTGTTTTGTATAATTCACTGAAAAATTGCAGTGAGAATAAGATAACTCGTAGTTTGGTGCCATATGGTTCAAAGTTTTATGGGACAACTGCTATTACTGGTGAAAAAGTCACACAAGCAGATTTCAATGTGTTTGGTTGAATTTGCATTAATTGTTGCCATCACAACTTCCTGGAGGGATTGGTTTTTTGTATAATCAGTCTTTAAAAAAAACTAACCTATTACATCTTTACAAATTTAAAATGTAACACATAGACCTCTCATGCTTTAGAAAACTACATCAACCAAAGGTTTGGATGTGGGTCAATCTCAGGGTATTGCTGAATTCCATAAATCTTTTGTTTTGACACATCTGGCAACAGTAACAGATTCCTTTAAATATGATCTGTGATGTCCAAGAATCTTTTGGCCTGCGGGTTAATTGTGACCTCAAGTTGACTTTATTCCAAGTCCCTCGGGATGCACTGACTTCCAACAATGAATTCCACACTGAGAAGGCTAAAGCGTGGTTTACCATAAAACTAGCTGATGTGCATGGGGGATTTCACAGCTTTACAACCCTAAATAAATATTTGGTTTCCAACCTTCTTTCTGCTCTGTCATCATTACATATCTTTTTTTTTTTTTGGTCTTTTATATGAAGCAATACATGTACAGGCAATAAAACAAATATCAGACATGAACAAATATCATTTCCGTCATCAGGGCGCGCTTATTTTAATTAGTATAATGGGTGTAATATGAGTGCTCATCTAAACAGGGGCGAGTTATCTGATCTGTGTGATATTATCAGAACTGAATTGGTTTTATAATCATTGGACAATTAAGCTTTTTTTTGGCTCCTCATGCAGGAATGCAGCGCAGTAGGAGAGGGCGTGCAACAGGGCTTCCAGGCGTCAGTAAGTCAATCCCTTCTGCTTAGTTTAACTAACTACTTTTATGGGGTTTTTTTCTGTCTACTGTCCTGCAACAGATGGCTCCTCTGCTCACTGGTGTACAAAATACTGCTGAACATAAAAAGACATTTTGGTATGAGTTGCTGAAAGTATGAATATGTCAGAAGAACCTGATAAACTTAAAAACAGTCAAGTGTTGGTGTACAGATAAAATGCATAGTTTAAATCTTATGGGATCCATCTGTGTTTGCACTGGGGAGCTTCTCAAAATAGCGTCACGCCCTGTTTAACAGTGACAATCACTTAAGCAAACTGTAGATATTTTATGCTCTGTGCCAGAATGTGCAGTACTGTCGCTGTAAATTCTGCCTTTAAAATAGGCTGGCACACCCCTTAACATCTGAATTGGCCACACAAATGATAAAAGTAAACAAAGATCTGCCTCTAAATGTGTCCTGCAGTGAAAAGAACAAGGCAACGTTGATAAGCAGCTTTAATTTCTTCTTGATATCTTGCTCAGCCTTTTTTAGTATGAATAAATTGACTGTTTGAATACAGAATTAGTAAGTTAAACCTTTTAAATGTGGGACTTCCACCTTTATCGTTTTTATTAGAACATTTGGTGACCTCAGGTAATTACCAGCAGAGTTTCACCCAACATGAACCTCAGCAGGTCTAATCAGCCAGAATAAATGAAAACACCTGTGCGACTGCAGGGGCTTTCATACAGCTTTGTGGGTTTAGTCTTTTTGTTGTTTGCCTGCAGTTTCCAGGGTCTGTGACTTCTTCTGACATGTTACAGTCCACAGAAACTTTTAAACGTATTTTAAAATGATATATTATATATATATATATATATATATATAAAAAGGTTACTGTACATATATATATGATTTGCTAATCCAAAATAAAGAAATTGGAACCAGAGTATTAGCTCAGGGTTTGTCCATACAGGGTAGCTAATTGGATTCACCTGTCCTCACATGTGTAAACTGTTTCCTAATGTGAGCTGGAATGAAAACTCTTATGCTGGAAGTAACTAATACTACATTACAACCCGTAAAACCATAATTTTCTAAACAAATCCACGCTTACCATCATTATACTTGCTCAATTTTAAAGCTAGTATATCAATAAACCACTTCATTAACCAATATATTAATATAAGTACCCTCATAAAAAGATGTGCAATAGGACGATAACTCTTCGTAAATGACTTGAGGTCAGTAAATTGACCTACTTTTGGCATTGACAAGTCAGTGAGTGGTCAACCTGAAATGCCCTTTAACATTTTAAACAGGCCACAGGTCAGGCACCGGGCGGGCTTTAGGACCCAGCGGCGCAGCTGTGGTGAAGACAGCTGTAGCAATATTATGGCCGGATTTACCTGCGCGTTACCGGAGACCTTACCCATTTAAAGCTGATTTAAAGCGCATTATCACACTATTGTACACATGTGGTACGGTTGGTAGCTGTATTACGACCAGGGTTCAGTCATTCAGGAAGCCGAGGCTCATCTCTCAGCTGCTGATGGAGCACATCCGACTACCAAAGGTAACCAGCGCGGATCCGGTTGCAGTGATTGGCGACAATTTCCGCATTCTATCTTCAGTGTCACTTCAACACAAAGCTTTGCATGTGCGCTCAAAGTGACTGCAATGGTTGAAATCGTTAAAACACGCACACAGGCTGAATTAAAGGGCGGGGGCTGTGTCGGCCACGTAGGCAGCCAGGGGTCGACCTGCCCTGCTGCTATCAGCCACATTTCACAGCCTGTGTTGCTGTGGTGCTGTGTGGAGAGAGAGAGAGAGAGAGATGCACGAGAGAAGGAGAGGGAGTGAGGAGAGAGGAGGAGAGAGAGGAGAGAGAGAGATGAGAGGAGAGACGAGAGAGAGGAGACGAGAGAGAGACGGAGAGAGAGGAGATGGAGGATCGAGAGAGAGAGAGGAGACGACGAGAGGATGAGAGCGCAGAGGAGAGAGGAGAGAGAAGAAGCTGAGGATGAGGCTGTTTTGATGTGGTTCTTCCTCTCCCTCCTCCAGGTGGAGAGTGTCAGGCTGCTCGACAGAGTCTCCCCCAGAAGAAGCAGGGTGGGCACCCTCTACCTGACAGCCACACACACCATCTTTGTGGAGAACGAGGCTGGAGTGCGCAATGAAACATGGGTAGGCACCAAGGAGCAGGAATCAGTCGGTTAGGACAGTGGTTCCCACCCTTTTCTTCTTAAGGGACCCTTTTCTTTCACTTAGTAAACTGACGACCCCGGACTAAGTGACATATTTCATTATTATTAACCCAACTCAGTCACTGTGTGTAAAACAAGTGATTTGGATGAATTTTGAGCAGATTATTTCTTGTTTAGGGAACTTTTATACAATTATCTGTCTGTATTGTGGATTTTTTTTTCTAAATCCCAAATAGAAGCAGGTCTCCTTTACTAGCCTGGTGTGGCTACATGTTGTGGTCTCAATTAGAGGCCTAGTCCAGATTTTATAGAAATTCTTTGGATGTATGAAAGCTCTTAAAGACCACCGGTTCGCACGCTTGAAGCTGCTTAGATCGCCTAGACAAATCATCGTCAATATGAACATGCTACATTAGATCGTCATTCAGTTCATTTTACAGAAACCATGAGCTAATCGACATGGTATTCGATAGAAGTAACATTCATACTGGTTTAAATAAACAGTTTGATAGTATTTCCCACCTTTGCTGACCAAGAGTTTAGTGCTAAATGAATTAAAGGCCTGTCCCATATAGAGACCTGTTTCAAATAAGGCAGGTTTAGTTTAGTGATTGAAGCAAATAAAAGCCTGGGCTATTAATTAAAATTTAAGAGTACTTAATAGACATTTTTGGTGTTTTTTTTTGTCCCTGACACTTAGCCATCCTTCTATTACAATTTACTTTCCATTTACGTTTCTTCAGAGAAGTGAACCAGATGCTGAGATATAGGATATACAGGATGTGTATATTAAGTTTTCTAGCGCGCCTTAAAATCAAGAATGCCTCGCTACCCCACATGAAGCATCGGCGACCCCTACTGGGGGTCCCGATCCCCAGGTACACATCAGATACAAACATACACGTAAATTAAATGTTTAGAAATGTTGCTTGGTAAAAAGGCCTCAAATACAGTGCAAAGCACAAAATATGTGGAATATGGGAATGTGTGTTAGCAAGCTAGACAACTTTTTAAAGTCTCTTGTTACGATATTCACGATTATTATGATTCACTTTCATCCCTATAATGAAAATTAACTGATATATACTTATGAGTGTTTTTATCGCGATAACATCGTTTATCATCCCATCCCTAATAGAAGCATACAAAAGGTCTGTATTTATCTCACCAGGTGCTTCACAGTTTGGTGTTTAGTGTGGAGAAACAAGGCGCCTCCGCCTCAGGATGTCCTCTAATCATTCACTGCAAGAACTTCCAGGTTCTTCATTTCGTCCTACCTCGAGAGCGGGAGTGCCATGATGTTCAGTTGTCACTACAGCGTCTCTCCCAGCCAGGTAAACTGTGCTATCATGGGTCAGTTTGGATGTAATTCCTCAAATGTAGACCAGTGAACAAGAAAAGTCAATCAGAAGTTTATTATTGGCCTTTTACAGCTTTTTATAGCCATCTGTGTTGAATTTTTGTATAAAATATCTTTCCAGCATAAATATTTAACCGAATTTGAGGGATCCTTGTTGTTTAAATGTGGGATTTTTAACAAGTATATATTTAAAAAATGAGCAGCTGTTAATGTTTTTATGAGAATTTTTTTTCTACCGATTATTTGTGCCACCCTTAAAATCCAGTCTCAGTCAGGCTCTAGTTTTCATTTCCTCTGCTTTTGCAACACTTTGTTCCATCTAACTCGTACAAATCTGAGGTTTTGTGCATCAACCTTTATCTGACAGCCAGTATTGTGCCTTGCAGAGAGTTACGAGGAGCTGTATTGCTTCTCCTATAAGCCTAACGTTGATGAGGAGGAGAGACGGCAGGAATGGGACTTCTTGGGCCTCAAGGCTGATTACAGCAGAATGGGACTCCCAAACTCCCTGTGGAAACTCTCTCCAGTCAACCGACACTACAAGGTCAGTGAGCCGACATCTATGACCAGTTGTACTATTTTATCCTAATATGGACATGGCAGTGGCTTAGGCTTTTGTTATGTTATTTTTCAAAGGTGAGTGACACTTACCCAGCTGACCTGTTTGTACCCGAGTCTGCCACACCCCCGGTCATAGTGGGAAGCTCCAAGTTCAGAAGCAGAGGCAGATTTCCTACTCTGTCATACTACTCCAAAGAAAATCATGTAAGTTGACTCTTTTTATCTTCCATGTGTTCCTACAACAGCTCATCTTAAGTCCGGGTGCATGAAGCACTTCTCAGACTCAGATGAATGGGGATTGTGGCTGAACCAATCTCTTGACAGAAAGCTTCAAACCCGGGGAAAAAAAAATGTCAGCAGAAAAATGTAGATAAGAGATCATATATTAAGATGTAAAATGTCATGATGACATGTTTTGCTTGATTTTCTTGGCCAGTTGTTGCCAAAGTGACTTGTCAGTCGTCCTCGGCACCGCCCTCCCTCTTCAAGCAGCCAAAAGTTTTTGTTTTTAAAGAAATGCAAGCCTGAAAGTGAGTTTTGAAAGTAACAACCCCCCCCACAAGTAAACATTAAGTCACTGCTGTTGAGTTATTGATACTGAATGCCAATGTATTAAGACCATTTATTTGAAACCAGATAATTTTGAAGTTTCGCAATTACAAAAACTGACATACAAACTGTACATCAGATACAGACACTGAGCCTGAAATAAGTGAAATTAATGATCCTCTGATTGTAGTAGTCTCTGATTGTGTCCAGCTAAGACCGACCTACTGATCACTTGGGTTAAAGGCTTTTTTCTAATAATGTACGTCTACTACAACACAGCCAAGCTACAGGGTGTTATGAGCAAAAACAGATTCATTCTTTCTTTTTTTGCCAATTCAGTTTTGTAAAAAAAAGCTTTGTATATGGCAACAAGTAGATCTTCATCATGTCAGGCTCACAGGAGTAGACATTACTAAAAGACATGGAATAGGACATATTTAAACAAAAATAAGGAAAACATACAAATGTATAAAACAATAATCTGGGAAGAGAACCTATGCTTGTACACGGGAGATTCTTACCCACAAAATCCAAACGGGCACAAGTTCAAAAGAGGTCCCACGAGGAGATGTCGACTCTGTCATTAAATCAAAGTATTAATCATTACCATCCTCTATATCTAAATGAGGAAGAAGCCTGAACATTCATAATCTGTTCTATTAATCCTGGTCGGGACAGTTGGGAGTGCTTTATGTATGCGAGGTCAGCTTCCCAGGGTTGAGGGTTGAGTGTGTGTGGAGCTCAGTTTGTACAAAGGGGTTCCCCTCTGGTTCATGGGCCAGGAGGGAGAATCACACAACGGTCTCTGGCCCTTTTCCCCTTGTGGCTACTAAATGGACAAACGAGGAAATTTTGTGGTGGATTAATTTGAATTGAACATGCAAGGAAGGAAAGGACTATAAATTTGTATTCCCCCTGATTCTCACACATTTGATTATTGTTTTATTTTCTTTTAAATGTCATCCAAAGTAATAATTCACTGAAAGTCAACTGTCAAGACGAGTAAACATTCCTGTATGAAGCCTGAGTGCCTCTTGCCTCCTCCCAGGCTGCCATCTGCCGTAGCAGCCAGCCGCTGTCAGGTTTCAGTGCTCGCTGCCTGGAGGATGAACAGATGCTGGAGGCCATCTTGAGGTCCAATCCCCGCAGCGACTTCATGTATGTGGTGGACACCAGGCCTAAGGTGAGCCCTTTGTGCCTAAGGAACGGCCTGCGAAAATACAAGCGTTTACAGTACAGTACAGTATGCTGTATGTTCAGGTGGGCTTTATTTTCCGTACTGCGTTTTGCCAGCTGGATGTGCTCACAGCAAAAAAAAGCCTTGAAAACATCCTGGCTGTGTTCTTCTTCAACTGTGATCAATATTATGTAAGACATGCCAATTTGTGTAAAACAATACTTGCATTTTGTATTTTTTGCTCTTAAGTATGTTCTAACTACTGTCACATGTCTTTTGTAGCTGAATGCAATCGCAAACCGAGCTGCAGGAAAAGGCTACGAAAACGAAGACAACTACTCCAACATTAAATTCCAGTTCCTCGGTATCGAGAACATCCACGTTATGAGAAACAGCCAACAAAAAATGCTTGAAGGTAATTATCAAGTCTTCCTGAAATCATTTCTCACACTGATTTTTTATTTTATTTAATTACTCTAGAAACCAGCAGTGCATTCATCACTGTCAGAAATGTTTCACCGGGCCAGTGTTTGTTGAGCGAAATGTATATTTTCTGGCAGTGTCTGTTTTAAAAGGCTCCTTCTTCACATTACTAAAGCAGAGCGGGACCCGAGTCTACCCCTGTGGCTTTCATATGCACTCATGCAGACCGGACTCTGCTGCAATCAGGCCTCAAATGAGCCCACAGGAGAATTTCTGGGTATTGTGCAGGGGTGCTCCTAGGAAGACTTTGAATCCATCTGGATTTTATTTCTGAGCTATTTTGGTTTCCTGGAGTGGACAATCCGGGACCTTATCCCCCAAAGAGAGACCGAGGGCGTGAGAATGATGTGATTTCAAGTTTGAAAAGTTATAGCTGTTCTCAGTTGTGATAACTCTTTGCCCCCTGGCAGCACAAGGGAAGTATTTAAATGCTGGAGACAGCGCCTGCCCTTCAGAGACTCGCTCTACCCGATTACACAGACCCCCCGCCTGGCAGCATTTCTTCCTGAGTGGAAGTCTGCACTGTTACAAAAGGTTGAATGAACTCACTCACCTGCTCACTCTCCTATCAGTGGTCACACAGCGCTCTTACAGGTGCACTTTGTCACCTTTGTCACCTCAGTCGACACCATAATGAGTCAAGAGCAGATGTTTTCATACACTTATCTAAAAGCCTGTCTGAATTATGAATGTGATAAATTGTCCTGAGCAAATGAGACGTCAGCTGTGGAGAAACGGGTTCGTGTCACTCTGCCCCTCCAGTGAACTTGCAAATATTTATGTTGAACCCTGAAGATGGAAAAATAAATTTTTAGATTCAGTTCTACAAGATAAACAAACATAATGCAGGAAGCCTTATGGTACAGAAATGGATCTGTATTTAATAGTGTGTTATTGTGTTTGGACATGGCTTTGTCTTACATTCATATTTTAAAATAGACTGTCTACAGCCACGCTAGCTGCTCCCTTAATTGAACAGGTAGTTTCTTCTATGCAGACAGTTCTTTTAGCCATTTACAAATACATTTAGTACTAAGTACTTACTTTTACTTTACTTTTTGCCATGCTAATGCTATCATCCATTTTGCCTGTAACAAACAGATCTAAAAACATTTCTTCTCTCTTCTTATATTAGTCTTCTCAACACAAATCTGCAGTATTACTATTACATTTGTGTAACCTTTCTGCAGAGATATATATACGGTCATCAACAAATTATACTGTAAAAGCTTAAGATATTAAGGTTATTTGCCATTTGTGTTTGGGATTTCTTCCCACTCACTAGATGGAAAGTTAAGGGATCATCAAAATGATTAAAATTAA